AGATTTCCACAATGAAGAAACTGAGGAGTGATTTGGAGGAGGATGTGTCAGAGTCAAAACAATGCCATCTGTTTCAGCAGGATGCAGTGGAAATGTCTTCAAATGGGACTCCAGGACCATAAGATTGGCCACCTATTATGCATCACTATTAATAAAATATATTTAATCATTCTGGCGTGTTATGTTTTCATGTCTTAGGTACGAGAACAGGAGATTGATTCTCAAAAAAGAGTGGGTCGTAGAACCTAAAAATACACTCTCATGCATCTAAAACTCATAATTTAAGATTAATATTAATTTTTAAAGTTAGATCTTAGTTCAAATATGGTATAGACCACTTTTTATTGGAGACTTTCTTGGACCAGGGTCAAATTTGACCCGGACATACTCTGAAGGCTTGGATATGAACAGTTTGTAAGGGTAAATGTTCAGAAGGGGTTTTGCCTCTAACCGAAGACTGGACGCTGGGCTCCTGTGGGGCTTGGCACCTGAAGGTTCTGGCTCTCTTTTGGAAACTATAGGAACCACATTATCAAATTGAAGGTCAAAGAAAAAAGCTATTTCGAAAAACTTTTTCCGTTAAATCAGCATTCCTGAATATCTCAGATCATTGGCAACACGAAATGTGTGTTAAAATATCTCCATTGCAGCTTTTTCACGCATAAATATTTAGATCCGCCCCTGCAGTTGGTTGGTGATCTTACCTGGCAGGGTTGCATGCGGGCTTTGGAGGCATGTCGCAACGTAACTACAGCTTTGTTCAGCGCTGATGACGGTGCAGGATATATGACTTTGAAGGGCACGGATGAGGGATAGAAAAGTAATAATAATAATTTGACTATGACGGATTATGCTGGCGCCATCGCTTTTCTGGGTCAGTGGGGTCGCTTCCAGCAAGTCGTCTTCTTCCTGCTCTGTGCCAGCATCGTGCCCAATGGATTTGGTGCCTTCACTCTTGTTTTCCTGACAGACATACCAAATCACCACTGCGTTGTCCCTGACGTCAACCTGACCGACGACTGGCTAAAAAGCATCATACCGCTAAAGGTGAGATTGGCACAGCTGCTTTCACGAGATGGAGAAAAAAGGGGAAGCCAAATTAAAGATAATGTGCCTTATTAAGACCATGCTCATTGAACTTTTTCACATATATTTCTACTGAGATAAAGTTACTGCTTGGATACAGAACAGTATATATAGTGAGGGATTTAAAACTATGGAAATGCATTTCATTCCAGATTTGGAAGTTACCACTCATTACAGTTTGCTGTATAACACCGACTCCTGGAGCAGCCAATAAAGTGGTACTGTCTCATTCCAGGGTGATAGTATACGGGAAGGTAGTGAGAGTTTATTTTGTTTGCTTTGTATTAAAGCATGTTTATACATTTTTGTTACAGATTTGTAACTTTGTAGTTATGTATTTGTTTCTGCATCTGCAGTATAAGTCAACTCATACAGAGGCTGATAAAGCAATATGGCAACATTTAGTACAAAGTTGTCAGCACCATACACAATACAGGGATAGGGCATTTGCCACAGAAATGTTACCAATAAGGTTTGTGTCATTGTGACTGTGAGGTGG